ATCTGCCCCCCTGCAGCTGCCTCCAGCCTGCAGCCCGCGCTCACCTGGCTGCAGTCCCGCCCCACCCCAGCGCTACGCTGGTAGGAAGCGCTAGCCCTTGGGTCGCGCATCTCTGGCTTCAGATCCCGCTCTGCCTTGTCCAACTAACAAAAAAAGTCTAGAGGCTTTGGCTGGAAAGACATGATAAGGATTTATTCAAGGGTCTTAGAACCGGAAACACAACGAAGCAATAGTCAGAGTGTTCCCAAGAAGAAAAAAATGGAGTTCTTATAGTAAAAAGTCCATTCTTCCGAGATCAGACGAGATCGGAAGCATTCAGGGTGGTATGGCCCTAGATGTAAAAGGTACATTCTTGAAAAGAATCAGCTTGCATTCTTTTTTTTAAATGTTTTTAACATATCTTTACTGATTTCAGAGAGGAAGGGAGAGAGATAGAAACATCAATGATGAGAAAGAATCATTGGTCAGCCAGGGCCTGTGCCCTGACCAGGAATCACACTACGACCTCCTGGCTCCTATGTGGATGCTCAACCACCGAGCCCCACCGGCTGGGCTCACCTCGAATTCCTACCTCTTAGCTCTGCCTGGGGGGATCCCCACGTGAAGCAGTAGAGAGACCACATTTGGAACCCCTCCCTCTGGGCTAGATCTGCAGTCAGGCGGCCTTCTGAGCTCTTCCAGGACGATGGATGTCAGGGAGAGGAACATCCTGTTTGCGCTGAAGGACACACCCCAGCTCATGCCCCTGCCCACAGGTACCGCTATTACCAGAACGTGTGCACCCACAGCTACTCCTTCGTGTGGTGGGACTGGGCCCGCTGGGAACAGGAGATTGACTGGATGGCACTGAACGGCATCAACTTGGCACTGGCCTGGAGCGGCCAGGAGGCCATCTGGCAGCGGGTACGTGCCCCCCACACGGGCCACTGCAAGTGTCCCTGTCCCCCACCCACATCAGCACAGTGTCTGGCACACAGAATAAGAGTTCCAGAGTGTTTGTAGTGGGCACAGTGGCCCCAGCCCTCCAGAAACGGGCTTCCACGGCTGAGACAAACCCTAGGAGTGCTTACTGAGAGCTGGGCCCCAGGACCCCACCATACACGCTTAAGAAGTCCAGTCAGTCTGCTGCTTCTACAAAGTCTCTGTCATCAGCAGTCTTTGATCTCACTTATTCTCTCCATCCTTAGCCATGGCCCTGATTCAGGCTCTCATGCCCTCGCCCTGCTCCCCCCCCCCCCCCCCCCCCCCCCCCTCCCCCGAGCCTCTGAGCAGGACTCCTTTCTGAAATGCAGATCTGGGCAAGCCCTCCCACTAACACAGTCAGGAGCGCAGCATTGCCTCCAGCCTTTGCGGGGCCTGGGAGCTGCGTCCCTGGGCCCTGAGGGCTGGCTGCACCTGCAGCTGCTTGAGCTCCCCGCAGAGCTGATCTCTAGCAGCCTTGCTCCCTGAAGCCTTCTAAGGCCCCTTCCTTGTTTGGGGAGAGCCCCCTTGTGCCTCACCTCACCTGTGCTGCAAGGGTGACATTAGTAAACTCACCTGTTCACGCATCTGTTCCTCCTGGACTGCGGGCTCCTTGCAGGCGGAGGTTGCATTTTGTCTCTAACCGTTGGGCACAGCACAGAGAGGAGATGAGTGAATGTCAGTGAGTCGGGGAAAGGAGATGAATGTGCTTATGTGCGGGGGTTGCCTTCCTCCTCAGGTGTACCTGACCTTGGGCCTGACCCAGTCGGAGATCGATGAGTACTTCGCTGGCCCTGCCTTCCTGGCCTGGGAACGCATGGGCAACCTGCACACCTGGGGTGGCCCCCTGCCCCACTCCTGGCACCTCAAGCAGCTTTACCTGCAGGTAAAATAAAGGGGAAGGGAAGGATAGAATTGGTCCTGGACAGTCACAGGCTAGGGAGGGTGGTATTTGGCCAGTCTCAAGGCTCCTAATTAGACCCCGGGGACTCTGTGTGCCCTGGGGGAGCGAGGGCCTCCCATCTCGGGCCATGCTCACCAGCTCCCCCTCCCGTTCTTCCCAGCATCGGATCCTGGACCGGATGCGCTCCTTCGGCATGATTCCCGTGCTGCCTGCGTTCGCAGGGCATGTACCCAAGGCTATAACCAGGTGAGGCTCCCCTGCCCTCTCCTCCCACTCAACTCAGAGATGGAATTTATTTTCCCCTGAAAGACATGATTTAAAGAGCTGTAGGCCCTGGCTTGATTCCTGGCTCTGCTATCCACTAGCCATGTGACTTCAGGCAGGTTATGTGACTGTCTGTGCCTCAGTTGCCTCACTTACAGAATGTACATGGCTTGGCACCGAGACTTAGCCAAAGGCAGCTCTTGTGTGTGGCATTTGGGTGCACTAGTCTCTGTCCTCCCTGCTCCTCTGTGGTACCCACCCACCCATCCTCTCCTGCGGCTGGGAAAATCCTTCAAGGCCAGCTGAGACCTCCCTCCTTCAGGAAGCCTTGCTGGGCTCCCAGCACTGGTCGCCACCTCCTTCAGCCCCGTGAGCCCCTGGTTTCCACCACTCTCACATACTTCGCGCACGCTGCTGGCTACCCCTCCATCTCTCCAACCGGGTGGCAGGAGCCTCGTGCACACATTCAGTGAATGCTTGTCGGGGGTCTGGGACTGCCAGACCAGGCTCTGCTGGGCCCTTGGGAGGCAGCGGCAACAGTGCACTGAGTTCCTGTCCCTGGTGGGAGATAGGTTGGCAGGGGGTTATAATACAGTGATAGGGCCCACTTCTCTGTCAAGGTCACTGCTGCCTGGGTAAGAGGAGCTGCAAGGACTCAGAGAGAGGCAGTACTGGGCCAGACCTTGAAAAATGAGTGTTGTTTGTTTCAACCAGTGGGAGGGGAGATAGCAAGAGTTTTCCAAACTAGGTGAAACTTAGAGGATGTCAAGGAGTAACCAGCTGGATGAGCAGGGAGAGAGGAGGAAAGGACTCCAGGCACGGGCACAGTATGTGCAAAGGCACGGAGGCATGAGAGACCAGGATGGGGTCCAGGAGTTGCAGATAAGTTAATGAAACTGGCAATGACTGTGTCCGCCTCCACTAAATGGACTGTTCCCACCCCCAACTAGGGTGTTCCCTCAGGTCAATGTCACCCAGATGGGCAGCTGGGGACACTTCAACTGCTCCTACTCCTGCTCCTTCCTTCTGGCTCCCGAAGACCCCCTGTTCCCTGTCGTGGGGAGCCTCTTCCTGCGAGAGCTGACCAAGGAGTTTGGCACAGATCACATCTACGGGGCCGACACGTTCAATGAGATGCAGCCCCCCTCCTCAGAGCCCTCCTACCTCGCCGCAGCCACTGCCGCCGTCTACCAGGCCATGGTCGCAGGTTTGGTGCCAGGGAGGCGGGGAAGGGGGGGAGGGGCTGGGCATCATCGCACCCGACCGTGACACAGCACTTTACAGTTTACCAAGCCCTTGTACACACACATCATCTCGTGGAGTCACACTGGTGAGAGGTGAGCTCTGGAGGCAGGCAGCCCGCTCAAACTCCGGCACTGCCGCTTCCCGCCTGTGTGACTTGCAATAAGTGACCTCCCTCCCAGGGTCTCCGTGGCTTCATCTATAAAATGGGGCTCCCTCTGAGTAGGATGATGCCTGGCCCAGAGGAAAGTGTCATTAAGTGCTGGGTATTAAAAAGACCGGGGTGTGCCCTGACCGGTTTGGCTCAGTGGATAGAGCGTTGGCCTGCGG